TAGGAGGCGGCCTCGAGTCGTCGAGGGCGGCGGCGCGCGAGCTCGGCTTGGTCATGCCGGCGCGATCTGGCGCGGCAGGCGGCAAGTGTAGGGCACGACGCCGTCGATCAGGAAGACGACGAGCGGCGTGAACTCGCCGCAGACGAGCAGCACGAGGCCGAAGAGGGGCACGCGCACCATGTCGTGGCGCACGCGCCAGAGGAGCAGCCAGTCGGCGCGCGTGTACGAGGCCGGCACGACGGTCGGCGTCCAGACCGAGGGGCGCTGCCGGTCCTCCTCGGGCTTGGCGGCCAGCGTCTCGCGGAGGAGCCGGCGGTTCGTGAAGACGGCCTTGAGGCCCGTCTTGTAGAAGCTGATGTAGGCCTTGCCGGTGGCGAGGAGGTGGCTGAAGGTCGAGGCCTCGGGATCGCGACGTGGCAGGTTCAAGGGCGCGGGCCGTGTCGAGGCCGGCGGGTTCAGGACCCGGCTGTACATCTCCACATCAGTCGAGTCGGCGTCGTCCTTGAGAGCCGACTTTCTATCGCGGCTGACAGACGTGTGGGCACGACGGAGTTGGAGGCCCAAGGCCCACGGGAGGGTGGAAAGAGGCGACGTCGAGTTTCGGGAGACGGCGAGGAGAGAGGAGGCGCCGTGGCGCAATTGGGCCGGGGCGCGCATCGTGCGCAGGGTCGTCGGGGTGCTCATGGCATCCTCTGGCAATGTGAGAGGGATTGGTGGGAAAGGAGCACGGTGGGATGGGCGACACGAGAAAGAAAAGTGCCCCCAGACGGTGGAGGGGGAGGTCCGGCGGTCGAGTCGTGAGATCATGGTCCCTCGTCTCAGGCGGCTGATGGACTTTACAGTGGGGGTTGCTCCGAAGATTTGCCACTGATGCCGCAGGTACCTTTTCTAGCAAGCCTAGGTACCTCACCGCCCTACTCAGCAAGCTTACGCACCTTACTGGTACCTAGGTATAGGCAGGTAGGTACCTAGTTAGGCTGCACAAGATTGGTGGCCGTTGACTCACAGTGTCTGCCTCTCTGGCCATGAAATGAAATGGTATTATTCTTTTTGTTTATACTCTACTATCAGATTTCGCATGATCATGGGCTTTCAGCAAAGGACATGAGCTTTTTACACATGGCCCAAAAAAAAAGATGGCCTCTCCCGTCTACTTCCTAATCTCGCGCCAGCTGGGATAAGATAGGGGCGATCTCTCTGACTGGCATCTACATACCTAAGGCCTTGCTAGGTTATGGATGCTGTACCATTTGGTCAGCCTTTTTTGATCTTCTCTTTTGGGGGACAACCTTTCATCATGTCAGATACCGCGGACTGCACATACCTGATATCCTCGGAGTGCTCTGGTGGTATCGGCGTGTTGACAGGGCCGCTGCTCGCGACAACGAAAGCGCCGCCCTCGACGCCGTCTTTCGTCATGGCCGTGCTCTTCCTCTTCTTGGACTTGCTCTCGTACCAGCGAGCCGAGCGCTCGAGGTAGTCGTCCGGCAGCGGGCTCTTGTAGTGGCCGCAGAAGACGCCGACCTCAAAGTCGCGCACCTGGCTCTTCTCGTCGGCAGCTTCGAGGCACGCCGCCTTGAGGTCCTCGAGCGTCTGGAACACGAGCGTGTCGCACTGGATGAGTTCCGTCATCTCCTCCAGCGTCCTCTCGTGGGCGAGGAGTTCTGCAGGCGGTTGTGTCAGCTGCGTCCGTCGTGTCATGTGGCCACGCATCACTTACGCCTTGGGTCGGCCAGGTCAATACCGTGCTACGTACACTTCGTCAGTCGGGTCTTGATCAAACAAGCGAGGCCAAAACCTGGCGTCAGGTCCCTTCCCTGGAAGGTCCAAACTCACAACATGGGGGTGGGTGATCTCGGGGCTGCAAGAAACGAGAATGATCTTCTTCGCCTCGCACTCCTTGACCATTTGGACCTATCACAAGCCGTAGTCAGCAAACCATCCACTTCAACGCTCGCATGCTGCCGATTCCGCGCCATTGCTGATGCAATGCCAAAGCCGCATCGGAGTCGGAAACCTACAATCTCGCGCGAGGTCGTTCCTCGGACTATACTGTCGTCGACGAGGCAAACAACCTTGCCTTTGAATTCCGAGGCAATGGGCGAGAGCTTGCGGCGTACACTCTTCTGGCGGGCCTTCTGGCCGGGAACCTAGATCGCAGCCAACATTAGCATGGCGAGGCTGATAGATCCGCACCCAATGGCCGTTGACGCACAATAAATGTACGGTAAACGTATCTGTTCTTGACGAAGGCGTTTGAAAGCGGCTTTCGTAGCTCGGTGGCGAGGCTGGCGGCAGCCGTGTTGCTTGTCTACATTGTGCGCATCTCATCAGTATGTGGCTCACATGACGAATTGTGACTCGTAACCGGGGGCGAGGCATCCTCACTTCTGGAATAGGAATGACTGTCGAGGAATATGTTAGCCAAGACCAGGGATTGCAGAGACGCTGGCCATCGCAACGTCAAAGGAACGCAACATACCAACATCAATCTCATCGATGCCCTTCTCGCCCATGACGCTCCTCATCCTGTCGGCAAGCTTCAGTCCCATGTTCTGGCGACTGCGGTGGACGGAAATGCCGTCCATGTCGACGTCTGCCCTGGACAGGTACAGGTATTCAAACAGGTCGGGCGTGTAGGACTTCATCTCCACAACCTGGCAGAACTCGGGAACGCCGCCCTTCTTGATGAAGACAGCCTGGCCGGGCAGGATATCGACAATGTTCTTGAACCCAAGTTGCGTCAGGGCGATCGATTCCGAGGCGAGGAAATAATCAGTGGCGCCCTCGAGAGTCTCCGAAGGTCGCGACCCGAGGCACAGGGGTCGGATGCCGTTCTCGTCACTACGCCGAGACCATGTCAGTCACCTGCGACGCGAGGGAGCAGAGAATGCAGAAGAAGAAAGCCGCAGCAAAACGTACCGGAAGCCGAGAATGCCGAAGCCTGCAATCATGGCAGTGCAGGCAAAGGCACCCTGGCACCTGGCGTAGACCTCGCGGAGGGCGGTAAAGACATCGGCCACGCTGGCGCGCGTCTTGCCGAGTTCATTGAGGGCATAGGCGAAGATGTTGAGTCTGAAGGCAGGACTTGTATCAGCAAGAGGTGGACCGCATGTTGTCTCCCGTAGGGATAGACCCACAGCAGTTCCGAGTCTGAGTCGGTGTTCACGTGGCGACGAGCCTCGTTATCGAGGAATTTGACGAGCTCCGGAGCGTTGACGAGGTTTCCGTTGACGCTCATCGACAGACCGAAGGGGGAGTTGACAAAGAAGGGCTGCGCTTCCGACCTGTGGCAGAGAACGCTGTCAGTGGGAATTGTCCAGTTTGGGAGAGAGAGGCAGGAGGCAGGAGGCCGAGGTCGAAGTGTGAGGGGACGAGCGCGAGGGTCATACGTACGCAGATTGCGTGCCCGCCGTGGGATACCTCAGGTGGGAGATTCTGCCTGTGTCAGATCATCATGCTCATCTCGGGGTGTGATCATGAGGCTGGCAAAGGCGAGGAGGCCATACCCCATGTATCCGGGCATCGTCTCCGTTGTCGCGCGCTTGCCCTCGTCAAACACTTTGCTCGCCATGCCTACGCCCTTGCACTGGGACACCCTTCCGCCCTGGCATACGGCGATACCAGCTGCATCTTGTCCGCGCTGTCGTCCATGTTAGTGGCTGCGCGACGCTGTGTCTTGGAGAGGTGGTGAGACGGACATGTTGGAGGTAGTAGAGGGACTCGTGAAGGTCGGTGACGGCGGAGGTGGCTTCGGGATCGCCCAGCTGGGATTGGAGTCAGCGTGATCAGCGTGGCGCTCTTGCTTCTCTCTGAGGTCGGCGCTTCTCAATGCATGGTGTCTGCTGGGTAGCGACAAGGACATACCAAGATGGCGGAAATACCACACATGGTTGGTGTGATGTGGTGACGGTCGGCCTGTGGAGGCGGGTGTCGGGAAGGGAGCGGTCGGAGGACAGGCTGGTGCGGCGCCTGGGCAGGGAAGATGGGCTGTGTGGGCGTTCTTGTTGCTGGCGGTTTCGTTGATGCGCCGTCGATGGTTGCTCGGCCTGTTTCTCGGAGAAGAGTCGCAGGGCGTAAAGGCGTAAAGGCGATGATTTTTTTTTTGACCCCTCCGCCAGTCGCAAGGTACTGGGGAACCCACGTGGTGGGGGCGGGGTGAAATGGGGGTCCAGCGTGCAGAAGAGCCGCCGCGTCACCCGACCCTCGGACTGTTGGCACTGCACTAGCCGGCAAGCCGGTACAGTGCCATGTACCCATGCTGTAGATTGTAGAACGTTTACTAAACACAGGCATTCGCTACATTACCTACTCGATCGCACAGATATGCTCTGTTGCCCGCTCCATCATAGTACTTTGACGACTCTTCCGCTCTACCCTCTCATTCTGCAGAGCAAGGAACCCATCGGTACTGCCCCGACGCTGAGGTGGAGACCCTGCTCTCGTATATAATGTACCCCCTCGGTCTTGATATCTCATCATGGAGAGAAACCAGCAACTAGTCCCATTGTGTCATTTGTCATCATCTGGTCTCTACCGACGACCCGAACATGGAGGCATTCTGAATTCATCTCAACAATATGGACGAGCACGAACCCGCGTTCGCCATTGTGTACCTACCGTTCCTACTCAGTCACCAACACTTCACCATGTAATACAAAGTAAAAGAAGCTTGCACGGGTAAGAGTAGTTATCTAATCCAGAGATAGGCTAACGCTACACAGAAGTAAACTTTGTCTCGCCATCAGTCTGCTAGGTACCCTGTGTGCTACCTGCTGCTGGCGGAATCGAATTGAATATGTACGAAAAGATGTCAGTGCCAGACCATGCACCTTTGATGTAAATGGAGCCCCTCTGCCAACTCCAAGTCCAGACGCTGAACAACCAAATTGACACGATCCGTGGCGCGGTGGATGCATTGGTGGCTTGTGACGAACCAAAGGACGCTCAGCAACGGGCGAAGATGGACTGCGCGAAAAGCGTGTACGTGTCGGCATGGTTGAGGTTCTGAGCGGGCGTGAGGCTGCGGATAAAATCGAATCCATAGCCTCCGTAGTCTTCAGTGCCCGCAATCTCGGCCAGATGAGTCATCTCGTGGAGGATGGTCGTCTGCTGATCCTGAGCATGGCACCTCTTGTCGGTAGGAGGCATCTGGTCGAAGAAGATGCGGCAGTTGACCATGAAGCTCTGCGAAGGCAGAGTATAGGCGATCACGCCCGTGCGGCAGGCATTGTAGACGTCGGTGCAGTGGTAGCTGGACACGCCCGACGTCGTGCTGCTACACTCCTTCTCGATGCGGCCGAAAACGGTAGACACCTGCTTGCTGACCCTGGCGCTCGAACTCTTGAAGTACTTTTGCAGGCGGCTCTTCGATGATTGGTTGGTGTTTTGAGCAGCCGTTTTGGCAGCTGTGGCCAGCTTGGCGCAGTTCTTGATCGCCGTCGTCGTAACAGCACGGCGAGTCCCAGTACAGTCGCCTGCGAGGTCCGTCCGCTTGGCTTTCGACTGGAACGTGTGGTGCACGGCTGCGGCCTCGGATCCGTCGACAACAGTGCTCAGAACGTTACTGGAATATGGGAGGGCGCCAGAGATCATGGTCGAGTTGAGCGTTGCGGTCGAGAAAGCGCCCTTGGTCTGGACGTCGAAGGTGCCGCCAGGGCTTAGGTCGTGAAGCTCTCCAGCATCGAAGTCGACTTCGACAGTCTCGCCGGCATTGATGACTCGGAAGGCATCTTCTTGAAGATAGTGGGTACACATGTTGAGTCGAATCCCGTCAAAGGCCACTTTGCTGTCTGAACTCCCAACTTGATGAGTATACAAAGCTTAGTTTGATAGACGTAGGGTCACTCACCACCGGAGAAAACTTCGACTTTCTCAACGGGCCTATCGTCGAGAAAGGTGCCCAGCGTCAAGAGCTTCACCGCTTCCTTGCCTGCGTTGGTGAGGTAGCCCTTGATGCCGGAGTTGCCAGACTCCTCCAGACGAACAACAAGAGGGGTGTCACGAGCCGACAAGTCGACCGAGGCAGCCCGAGCTAGCAGAGCCAAAGAAGAAATGGCCACGAGAAACTTCATGATTGCCGTGGGATCGCGATGAGATGAATCGAAAGAAGTATACTGTAAATCAAAATTGATGAATCGGACCGGATGAAAAGAGCGACTGAGAGGTTGAAAAGAAGTGCGTGTAAACGAATGAAAGTGAAACCGACATGTCAAATCAAGGAGAGACTGGGTTGCCACAGAGGGAGACTGTGAGTAGGGAATCGATGAGGATCTTCCTACTTATAGTTGACATTCAACGGTCTCTTCACAGGAGTCTCCTAAAAAAAAAACATATTGCAGCCCATTTGCGTTACAGAGACTCCTACTGCTTCTGCGATTTTGGGCAGCTGGTTGAACCTTAACAAAGCAGTGTAAGATGAGCCAGACGAAATACAGGGGTTTCTGAATCACTAGCATCAGCCCAATTCCCAAGTTCTCCGCCTCATGTGTTGTACGTAATAGAGTCTTTATTCGTTCAAAACTGTTCCAGTTCACGATGCTGGACACACTGATTGGCTTGGTCGTAACAGAGAGGCCACGCCACTAAGCCAACATGGATTTAAAATTGCTAGAAACGGTTGCCAGACAAGTCTTGACAGTTTGGTACCCTGTGGTTCAAAAAACCCCGGCAGTACAAAATAGGAAACCGCAGTGTCGATGCTAGGAACCCCCCTAGTACCTTGCATTTACTACTGCTTCCGAGGGAGCCCCTCCTGGCTCGGACTGTCACACGAACCCTATCAGGAAGGTGAAGATTCCTGTAACGCGGCACTTAAAGTAACGTTCGGTCTGGAATCAGTAGGCGGGTGAGCGACGCTGGGATCCGCAGGCCTAGTCCACGTGAGATGACGGTAAAGGCTCTACAATCAGGTGATTTGAACATGCTTCGCTGGGACTAGTTGGATTAACCCCAGCTAGATCGATGGCTAAGCTTTGGAGCCGAGCTGGCTTCCATCGGTTGAGAAACATCTGCACTCAATCGTTCGACACGATGAACGATTTGACACAGCTTCATTTCCCCCAGGATGATCTGGTGGAGCTCTGTTGACATTACGTTATGACGTGAAGCTAGTTAATAGGTTAGAATCAAGTACTGACGTACCGAGCGAGCTAGGGCGCTTAGACTTAGTACTAAGCCATGTTTAAGTATTAGTGTTGAACCAATATTAGGGAACTCTATAGTTAGGATAGCGATATCTAAGGTATCTAGGATATCTAGTATCCACTGCTCTCAGGAGCACGTGAACTACGGCTTACGTGATCGCTAAGAGCAGATAGGTATATCTAACTTACGTAAGTAGTAGTAACTTAGAGGAGCAGATAAGAATTATATATATAAGAATTAACTATTATAAGACTTATTAGATACTCTACCTATTTAGAGCTCGTAAATATAGCGGAAGTACTAGATTAAGGTTTATATAAATAGTAAAGCCCTCTTAATATTAATTAATATTATATTTAATATAATATAGAATAGCTAGAGCTAGAGAAATTAGGATTAATCCTATAAATAGTATATTTACTATATATAAGCTTATTAATTATATTTTATAAATAATCGTAAAAGTACCGTTTTATTTTTAAGTATTTTAGGACTCTTATATAAGCTTAATAATAGGGAATTCCTTTATTATATAATCTATAGGAGTATTATCTATTTTAAGTATCTTAGGACTCCTACGATTAAGATTATTATTAAGCTATATCGCTAATTATAAAACCCGAAAAACGAAGCTATATAGAATAATTAATTATTTATATTAGAGCTTTATAAATTTAGCGATAATAAGCTCTTTAGATTATAATAATAGCTCTATAATAGAGCTAGAGAGCGCTAAAAAATTATAATAAGAGTTCGATATTATTTTAAAGGATATTAATATTATATATTTTATTTAGAGGGTTAAGAAGGACCTTAATATCGATTTTATCGTAAATAATATAGAGTTATAGTTCCCGGGATTACTAGATTTAGTATCTATAGATCTTAAGAGCGCTTAGATTATTAAAGTAATAAGTATATATAGAAATATAAAAAGAGTTTACTTCTTAGAGGCGTTTATTAAAGATTTTTAAAGCTAAAGTAAAGAGGATTTCGATTCTTATAATTTAATAATCTCTTAAGCGCTAAAGGTATATTTTATAGATTATAAGATCCTTTTTCTAAAGATAATAAATATTAAAATATCAAAGAGATTAATTCTAATATTATTATAGGAAAAGATATTTAATATAAATATATTAGAGAATAATATTAATTATAATTTAATATTCTATAGAATAGAGGAATAGTAAGAATAATTAGACGATAAATAATTATTTATAATAAGGATTATTTAATTATCCTAAATTTAAATTATATAAAATAAGAGGATAGATCCCTATTAACCTCGTATTTTAGGGTTATTTAATTAATAGAATAAATAATTTAATTAATAAGAGATTATATTTTATTTATAATAAAATAAGATTTTACTTCTAAATAATATTTAGAACTTATTAATTTAATATTATATTCTATTATTATATAAATTAATAAATTTATTAATTAATAGAATTATAATTAAGTAATTTATATTATTCTAGAATAAAGAGAGTAATTATTTTAAAGAGACCTATAATATCTTAGATAATAAGATATATATCTTTATAAATATATATAAGCTCTTATAAATCTAATATATATAGCTTTATATACTCTTCTTAAATATATTTTTAAAGTATATATAAGTTTTCTTCTTAGAATATATAAATAAGAATATAAGAATTTAATAAATATATCTAAAGATTAAATAATAATTCGATTTAGAGATTAATAGAGCTTAATATTATATAGATTAAAGCTCTATAATATTTAATTTTATTATTATAGAGCCCGAGAATATAAGAAAACTATAAATAGAAGTTCTCTAGATCTTTCTAGATAAGCTTTAATAATATTAAAGAGCTTTTAGCTTAATATTCTAGGAGGAGACCTATTTTTATATAAATACTTTAAAAGTAATTTAAGGTATTCTAGAGCTAAAGATTATATTAATAAAGCTAGAGCGATCTTTTAATATATTATCCGCTTAGCTTAAGAGTATATTAAAGGTAGAGGAGAATATTAGAACGTTTAAGTATTTTTATATTAATAGGTATTATAAAGGCGGAAATAGCTATTATTAAATTAATAAAAAAGGAGATCGTAGAGAATAATCGTTTTATAGAATTAATAATCGCTAAGATTCTAGGATTAGAATTTATAAATATTAAATATATTTTAAATTAAATTATAAATCGACGAAATATTCTCTTAAAGAATAATAATATTTAAAGGAATAATAGAAACGT